TGTTAGTTTTAGACCCCCGAGATCAGTATTGTTTATTAAACTGATGAGAGGTTATAGGTTATTTAAGCTGTTTAATTGAAAAAATATTGCCAAGAACTGGTCATATTTATAATTGATTTTACAAAAATCAAATGTTTTGTTGCTCCTAATAACTTGTCTGTTTCCGGCACATTGAAAAACTACTTCGCTTCGTTGCAATTTATTTAAGAAATCGAGTGAGTAATAGCAAAATCAAAAATCGCTAGCGCAAAACAGCTGGTGTAGATTTTGCTTTTCCTTAATTTTACATAATAAATTAAAATTCCTGGTTTCTTCATACCTTTTCCTTCATAAAATTTTTGAAATGGTTATATTAAAATTGCTAGTTAATGAAGCCGAACTAAAATTAGTACAGTTTAACGTCGGAAAAGTTGACTCTGAATTACAAATCACTTTAAACTCAGTGTCATGGAACATTTAGTTCAACAAGTTACAACTCTAATTAGTTCTGAGCTCCCGAGCTCAAATTAACCTTCATCGGGCTTCCCTTGATCTCGGCTCTGAAAACAAACTCAAATTGATTTCAGCTATATAATAAAGTTGTGCTCAATCTCCTGAGCTCCGATTAACCTATACTATATCGGATTTGTCTTGTTATCGATTCTGAAAAGAAGCTCAACTTGATTTCAGATAATAAATTTTGATTGAAGTTTCAATTGAGAGGAGCAGGTAAAACGTCTGACTTACTTTTTGATTTGAAATTTAATTTTTTCAAATTCATTTAGATCAAATAATTAAGACAGAACTTCTCCTCATTAATGTATTTAAATAATTTTAAATATAGAGCAAAGATAGATAAAAAGAATGGTCAACAATAGACCATGCAGCTCCTCCCAGGGTTCGACAAAACTGAGTGTCCAGTTCTGACTGCGACTGTGAGTGCAAAAACGGTACTGAGGAACTACCAGACAGAGGAAAGTATTCCCGTGACTGGACCAAAATCAGAGCATTATCAGGTAAAAGTACAGATCATCATTATTTGGCTCTGAAGAATACACGGCTAGTGCAGAAAGTCTGACTACCGTTGAAGTTGCAGAAATTGATTTTTACTTTTTTCAGAAATGTTTTTGCTTTTTAATCAATATTTTTTTGCTAAATCTTTTTGCGAGTTTAGCTTGTAGATTGTTTTCTTGACTGAATAATCTTCAGTAAAATGTCGGCTAGCGCTGAAAATAAATTTGAAATTCAATCGCAGAGCCAAGTTAATCGAATATTCGACCTAAAAAGTAAAACTTTCAAGAACTTTTTTGAAAACTTGGTATCACGAATGATGGGATTTCTTTTACTTTTCCCCCATTCGACGTTTATTTGTGGTTCCTAATTTTATGCAAAATTTTCTTCCAATAACAGTATATCGCAAAAATTTTACTAACTCTTAAGTTTCAAACTAAAAATTATTGAAAAAATACACCTTTTGCGAATATATTTATCGCTGAAAGTCAGGAGCTGTATTTCATATTTGCATTTTCCAAGGGCCCGATTTTTAGTATTGCACCTTTCATTAGGACTGTCGGCACCAAGTATGTACCAGCTCACTCATGAACTACTCACCCTACCCAAAGAAAGACGCTTCCGATGAAAACTGGCCCTTGCCGAATTACAATAAAAAGCAATTTCTACAAGAAGCAAAACAATATTTGACAATTTATCACAAGGACAAGAAAACTAGTGACAACGAGTACCAAATTCGACTGAAAGAGATTGAAGAGGAAATCAAGACAAAACAGTTGGCTACGTACACTACAGACGAACTGAGATACGGAGCGCAGCTTGCATGGCGCAATGCAGCCAGGTGTATTAACCGCCTCTATTGGCAGACACTTGAAATAATAGACAAAAGAGAAGTGAAGACAAATGACGCCATGTTCGAAGTCATTTGTCAACACTTACGAAGCTCTTTTAACGAGGGAAAGTTGAAAGCAACTGTTTTGTTTTTGCCTCAAAACGCGAGGTTGTGGTCCAGTCAATATTTGAGATTCGCTTGTTATGAGCAAACCGACGGCACGCTTCTAGGCGACCCAGCAAATCGAGAGCTAACTCGATTGGCGATGAAAATTGGTTGGAGCAAACCCGAAAGTGAACGAACCGAGTGGGATGTGTTGCCTGTAATTGTTCATTGCAATCCGGAAGATGACCCAGTTGGTACGAGTTGCCTGAAGACTGTCGGCCGATTGTCAAACTTTGTCACCCCGACCCAAAATACGACCGCGCGATACGTCAACTGGGTTTGCGATGGTTCGCCCAGCCGTTTGTAGCCGATAAAGCTATAGAAATTGGTGGCGTGGTGTTCAAATGTGTTCCTTTTAGCGGGTGGTCCATGGAAACTGAAATCGGTCGCAACTTATGTGACGTTCAGCGTTATAATGTTATCCCTAAGCTAGCGCATATTATGGATTTTGATGTAACTTTAGCCGCTAGTAGTCAACTCAACATTGACCGCATTTATGTTGAGGTCAATGCCGCTGTTTTACATTCTTTCCAGAAAGTTCAAATATCGATTGTGGATCACCATACTGCGGCAGCCGGATTTCAGAAGTTCTTAAAAGAAGACACTGCGGCTCGCGGAAACACTCCGGCGGACTGGGTGTGGATTGTGCCTCCAATTAGTAGCGGGATGAGTCCCGCTTTCCATCAAGAGATGATGAACTACTTGGTGAAACCGAGCATACTTGATCAGACCGAACCATGGATCCCGTATTTCGAGAGACTTCGAAAAAAGCAAACATTTAAAGTGAAACTAAGGATGAAAAACAACTGGGAACTAGTTGGTAATGTACTGAACCCGCTTTTTGGAATGTTATTATCCCGAGTGAAGAAACGAAATTGTGTTGCCGTTTTGTATGCGTCCACAACGGGAACAGCGGAGTCGTATGCCAAACAGACGGTTAGTCGACTTTTTAAGGAGGGCTACAGAGCAGAGTTGTATGAGTTGGACAAATTCTCGTTCAGCAACACAGACAAAACCCCAAAACTGTTGTTTATAATAACTTCTACATTCGGCCGAGGGAATGCGCCAGCTAATGGGCTTCAAACCGAACAATGGATGGAAGAAATTAACCAAAATTTAATTGAGCCAGAGGATAAAGATATTGGTCAAGCGAACCGCGAGCTAAGGAATTCATGTAGTCACTTTGTATATGCTGTTTGCGCGATAGGTTCTAAAGCATATGAAGACTTCTGCGAGTTCGGTGTTTGTCTCGACAAAACTCTGGAAAGTCTTGGAGCCACTAGGTTGCACACTGTTGCAACTTGTGACGCGCTGAGCGACCAGTACAAAACTTTCTGCAAGTGGGAAACGGGAGCTATCTTGGCACTCAAACAAGCGTTACCAGTCAAACAAGCATCGCCCCACAAAACCGATACCCTCAATGATGAAGAAAATATATCGAACGACTTGGAATCAAGTTCGGAGAATGCTGAATTACCTGATGCAGAAGGAGCTGAAGGTATGATTGAACTTCGCTTTTACGATGACTTGTGTGTTAGTAGAGAAGACGTGGGACCATACACAAAAACCAACCCACTGGAAGCGACGGTTCTCATGAACAACGAGCTAGTGAAGAAAACCGAAAATGGGAATAAAGGGCGTTCGAGTTCTTCCAAAAACCAGCACTCGGTACGTCAAATAGAGTTAGAAATAAAAGACATGCCTTATTTGGCTGGAGATCACGTCTATATTTTCCCAGAAAACCCAAACTCAGATGTTGAAAAGGTAATAAAAAGATGCGGAATGAAATTGGACGACCTTGACTTAGATCGACCTTGTTCTCTGAGTGTTATTTCTAATGGCACCTTTCAGTCTTTGCGTGAACTCATTTCAAAATACGTCGACTTGGTCACGCCTTCACTTCCGAATGTTCTGGCAAGTTTGGTAAGATACGTATCAGATGAAGGCGAAAGGAAGAAAATAATGCAGCTGATTGAAAATAATGAGGTTTATTCCGAGTGGTCAGTCAATCGGTCGACTGTAAATGAAGTTTTGGAGGAGTTCAAATCTGTCGAGATCAAGCTACATGAGCTGATTCAGGTTGCAAATTTACATGCTTTCAATCTATTATATTTTTCCAAGGTTATTTTCAAATTAATCATATTTTAACTTTTGACTATTCTTAGTCAAAAGTTGAAAAAATTTCCAAGGCCGAAAAAAACGAACACAGATTAAGCCGCAAGCTCCCCCTTCCCCTCCTATGATCCCCGACTTCTGATTGGATCGACGAGGGAGTGAAACTAGTTCCTTGCGCACTATATTAGTCAGAAGCCTGATAATTATTAATTTTTAGATTCTACCCCCTCTTCAGCCCCGCCCCTACTCAATTTCATCTTCACCAAGAACCAACGTGAACAAATTGCAGATCACAGTCAGTGTGGTAACATATGAAACACCCAATGGAACCAGACGATATGGCATGTGCTCCAATTTCCTTCACCAAACAGTCGTCAAAGACAAAAGTGTATCGTCATTGAAACCATACAAAACCAACAAAAAGGTCTGTTCTTTGTTATTTTTTCACGAGATTCATTTTGAGCGATTGACCAGAAAATTTTCTAGTAGCGGGTGCAAATCGAATATGCAAAGATTTTAAGGGAGAGGGCGCGTCGACAAAAAGCTCATTTTTTGGTTAAAACATTCAAAGTCATTAAGCCAAATTTTAGGCGTATTTCTCATCAACTCGACTGCAGTTTATTTTTTTTTGCAAGTTAGGGCGCCATTAATATTAGACTAAAGCTTCTAAAATCATCCCGGTGGGCCTCTAAAAAGATGCATGAAATTTTCTATTGTTTTATTGATACCCTCACACCTCCTTCGAGAAGCTCCTAGATCCGCCCATGCGTTTATGTATAGTACCATGCCTATAGAGAAGTTTCAATGCCAAAAAAGTTTGACATGGATGCTAATTTTAGTTTTTAACCATCAACTATCTCCTTCCAGAAACAAATTGAGAATTAATTTCAGATTCTACCCTCTATTGAATCCCACCAACCTCGGATGAGTGCGAACAAATTTCATGGCATAGTCAGTACAGTTGGTTACAAACCAACTAAGAAAAGGAATACTCCGGACTGGTTCCATACTTCCGCCCCAAAGTAGAGTCTAAAATTGAACAATTGTTTGCCTCAAACACAGACGAAAAAACAAGTAAGGTGCGAATTTTTGTGATTGCAAATCCCTCCTTGCGTCTTCCAGGACAGTTGCAGGATCCTCATAAGGTGATTTTTCCAACGTCATGGAAACAATGGATTCTCGACTTCTGATGTTCGCCTTCGGCTCAGGAATTGCTCCGTTCCGCGCATTCTGGCACGAGATTTTTGTCTCTTAGCAGAACGACTCGGATACCCGAGAAAGACCGGATTCTGTTCATTGGCTGCAGAACTCCAAATGATCTCCCATATGCTGACGAGTTGAAGAAATTGACTCAATCAACCTCCAAAGTACATCACCAAGTTCTATCCGAAGTTATTCCGGTTTATTCACGAGTACCTGGACACCAGAAACGATACGTCCAGGACGAAATACCCCTTTTTGAACAGAAAATTTATTCATTTCTAACCGACACGCACAGTTTCGTGTTTATATGTGGTTCGGTCCAAGCTTGTATTGGGGTTGAACGAGGATTGGCGTCGGTAATAGAGTCTTGCCAGCCAGGAAAACCGACGAGAACCGCGGCTGAAGAATGCATCAAGAGAATGAAACGGACCGGAAAGATTCAGTTGGAGATGTTCGGATAGATATCATATTTGAAAGTGTACAAATGTAAAATGGATTTCAAGGTTTTATATAATATGAAGAAATTAGAATGGAGTTCAGGGTCTCATTTTTCATGAAGAATATAATATGGATTTCAGGGTCTTATTTTTTTTCTTCAAAAAAGCCAAAAACCATCTGAAGTAAAAGAGCCATCATAAAAGCAGTAGCAGTAATACTGAACAGTAATGCGCCATTGGTTTTCTTGGAAAGGGGGTTAAATTGTTGTGGAGTTATCATGTTACGGGGTTATAATATAGGGGGTGTAAACATAGGGGGTTAAATATCGTAGGGTTAAAGAGTGGGACACCGTATTTTGGCCTGGAAAAGTTCGCTGTTTGTCTGACTTCGGTCTGATCATTTTTGACCAGATCGACCCTATATCGGCCAATCTCGATGTTGGCAGATAAAATCTAATGAAAGTCCATAAATAGAAATCAAATCATTAAAACAATTAGGTCTGTGATAGAATTATTCATTTGTCTCTGTAAGGCATCTTCCACCGTTATCCATTTTCACTTTTGACTACCTGAGAAAAGATTTACTTATTATTACTCCCTAACGATACCCACGATAGCTTCACTAACTTTTTCTCGCTCTGGAGAATTCAGTTAATTTGTATTTGATTATTTTTTTGGACAGTCATTTTTCGTCTGAAGTCACTGACTCACTCTCACGCTAGTGAATGAGAAGCAATTGCCTGACTTATCTGTTTTCAGGCAATTGTGACAGGTCTTTTTCCTATCTTTTAGCTGTTTATGTCTATTTGTGTTTCAGTTGTTTTAGAGTTCCTCTACAACTTGTCAATTGATAAAATAGGTCGTTTGAAAATTTTAAACTAACTAAATGGTGACATAGGTCTAATGACGAAAAGGCAACTTCAAAGCATAGGTTTGACTCGAGCGCAACCTATACATTTGACTTTCACAAAAAATTACAATTATCTCATTGTTTTTAATTTGATCACAGCAATAATGGAGATGCTACAGGCATCCACATGATAAAGCAGTGCAGCTTTTCATATGCATTTAAATGCTTATCTGGCCAATGAGGTACTCCGAACTGTACGTTAATTTTAAAGTTAACCCGACTGTGTTCAAACACAGAGCCCAACCTTCAAATGACTTTCATAATAGTTTTAGAAGCTGGTCACTTCTGAACGAAAAATAAACATAATTCACACTACTTTGCTTTTCACACTTTTAACTACACTAACTTCATCAAAACTTAACTCCATTTTCTGTAATGTGGAGAAGGAAGACAATTTGTGAAAAAACATTACATCAGAAGACATGAAAAACCCAACTATTGTAATTTCAGAGGAACGGCGAAAGATATTATTCCATTTTGAAAAATATCAGTTGAAAAATTTTAATTTGGTGTCCAATTTTAAATTACTGTTTGAAAATCACACTTTGTATTTTTTTCAGCCAACGGATTTGAGTATCTCCATGTTTGTATGCTTACTGACGAGTGTAAAATCGAAGCTGTCGGCTTGTCGGTCGAACATCGGTCGAACATTAGCAGCGGTGTTCAAGAAGGGTAGCGGTGGCGAAATGGCTACGTATCCGCCTATCAGTCTAAAGGTCGGATGTTGGAAAGCCCACCAGGATACGCACTCGTTGCTTAAGGGTGAGGTAACATTTCCCACACCAGACAAATAGCAAAAAATGCATTTAGTTTTTTAGCAGGGGGCCAAAAACAGCATTCTGAGAAGCTCGTGTGTGTCTCTTCCCTTGTCGTCTTAATAATAGCCTCAGAACCATATCACAAGTTTTAGCGTCATCGTTGGTACTATTTGCCTGGCGCATAAAAAAAATAAATTGTTAGTTTTTTTTCATGTTCTCTGATTGGGCGTTTTTTGAAAAGAGGCCAAAATGGCTATATTAAAAAATCCTGCACCAATATTCCGTGAATTAAAATCAATTATAATAAGAGGATGTGAATATATTTCTTTATTAAATTGGAGGATATCCTCGAGCGGGGTATATAAATTTGCTCAAAATATAATGGTAGATTAACCAAGAAAAGTTATTAAATTTTTTGTTCCGAGTTTCGATACGAAAGTAACGGAATATTTGTGCTCTGGTGAGTTTTTTTCTTCAGACAAATTTCGACTTTTTAACCTGCCATTTTTTTCATATCATTCAAAGGGTATTGTTGTCTAGAGCTTAAAGTTGAAAAACTATTTTACCTGTGATCATTTTTGAAAAACTATAGGGATTTGAAAATTGCCATTTTGGCCAGTTTGGGACAATTAACGCGCGATATATTTAATCCGTCTTAGAATCGTTCCAAATTGTTTGAAAGGCTCTTTTCCAGTTTCCCCCCTTTTAAAATACCGAGTTTTATGTTTGTTTTACGTGTTATTATGGCCAAATGCGTGATGTTACGATGTAAAATATGAAGAACAAATCTGTTCACAGTTATCGATTTGTTCACCACCTCAAATTTCATTGCATCATGACAACGTTAAATAAGCTTTTCAAAATTGAATTTGAATTGAATTTGAAAGGGGGGAGGGAAACTGGAAAAGAGCCGGTTGAAAAAAGTCTTTATGTCATAATTGATTTGTTAAATCTATCCTTTTGTATTTATGTGGCGTGCGGGGGGGGGGGGGGGATAATTGTCACAAAAAAAATCTCAAACTTTAGAAAAGAAATTTTTCTTATATTTTAATACATTTATTTTTTTAATGTTATTACTGCTCCATAAACCTTAAAAGGCAGTCGGAACATTCAGGTCTTCGCCCTGATTCGAGATGTCTTGTTTGATTTCGGAATTGGAGACAAATTTCATTGTATGTTCTTCAAAAATGAGAAAAATTATCTTAAGGAAAATCTAATTCTTCAGGAAATTCGATTAAAAAAAACTTGAGGAGTCGAAAAATGCTTCACGTAAAATGGCGAATGGAAGAGGCCTTTTTAACCGAGTTATACTATAAATATCATAACCGACAATTTAATAAAATAATTTTATTTCATGCTTCTTTACATTTTTCTCAAAATCCTTAATTTTACCATTTATCAAAAACAATCAAAGAAACAAATTTAGTTTAAACAATGATTGAGCATGTGATTAACTACTCGAATCAAAATTAATGCCTGCAGAGGTTCTAGTTTTAAACAGGAAAAATTGAAAAACGTGAAAACTAAAGATGATAAAAAAGCCAAAGTTGATTGTTTTTACAGATTTTTCTAGAAAATAAAAAACAATTAAGACTTCTCGTATATGAGAGCTCAGCTCTAAACTTTTTACTGCATTTTAAAGCCAATCAAAAAGTTTTTTGATAGAAAAACTGAGGAAATAATCAAAAGAGACACAAAGTAATTTTTTTCAAGTTCTTTCTTCAATTTATCCAACACACGCTAACTTCGATTACAAAGAGTTGTATTTAGCGTCTTTTATTTAAAAAAAAGACTTCCTAATAATGACTTGCCTCACTTCATTTGGTAACGCATTAATCCGACCCTTACGCGTGTTGGAAAATGTTGGCCTGCTACGCGTGTTGCAAAAACAAAAATCCCGCGTTTATTATACCAAACTTGCCAAATGACGAATTTTCAAATATTTTCTTTAGAGTTTTTATCAAACTCTTTTAGCTAACCGTTTGAAATTTGACTGAACAAAAAAAAAGAACCACAAGCTTTAATTTTTCACTTTTTCTTCAAAAATCGAAAGAAAAATTAAATGAAACATGATTGCTCTTATTAGGACAACGCTTTGATTGTTTTGAGTGCCCTTTAGTTCTATGAAGCGTAGCCGTGTGAGATAAAAACAATTAAGTTTTCGGAAATACGGTTTGAAAAATTGATTTTTTTTGGGCGGAAACCATCACCTCGCATAATAGGCAAGGTACAAAGTGATATTGTTCGCATATAACATAAGTATTAAATGGACCAATTAGACTTTCTCAATTCAGTTTGGAACGATTTCTAACACGGATTAAATCTCCGCCTACGCGTCAATAGCACAAAACATATTGCACGGCAATTATCTCAAATTGGCCAAAATGATAATTTTCAAATCCCTATGGTTTTTCAAAAATGATCACGAGAAGAAAGATTCCCTTAAAATTGAGCTCAATACATTACTGGATTTCAGAAGATAAAACAAAATTCTGTTTAAAAATAGCTATTTAAAACGTCGAATTCTTCGAAACGAAAAGGAACTCTTTTCCACTTCCCGGGTTTTCATTGTATTGTTGTATTGTTTTGTTTTGTATTGGGTTGTTTTCTATTGTATTGGTTCAATCAACCTCCAAAGTACATCACCAAGTTCTATCCGAAGTTATTCCGGTTTATTCACGAGTACCTGGACACCAGAAACGATACGTCCAGGACGAAATACCCCTTTTTGAACAGAAAATTTATTCATTTCTAACCGACACGCACAGTTTCGTGTTTATATGTGGTTCGGTCCAAGCTTGTATTGGGGTTGAACGAGGATTGGCGTCGGTAATAGAGTCTTGCCAGCCAGGAAAACCGACGAGAACCGCGGCTGAAGAATGCATCAAGAGAATGAAACGGACCGGAAAGATTCAGTTGGAGATGTTCGGATAGATATCATATTTGAAAGTGTACAAATGTAAAATGGATTTCAAGGTTTTATATAATATGAAGAAATTAGAATGGAGTTCAGGGTCTCATTTTTCATGAAGAATATAATATGGATTTCAGGGTCTTATTTTTTTTCTTCAAAAAAGCCAAAAACCATCTGAAGTAAAAGAGCCATCATAAAAGCAGTAGCAGTAATACTGAACAGTAATGCGCCATTGGTTTTCTTGGAAAGGGGGTTAAATTGTTGTGGAGTTATCATGTTACGGGGTTATAATATAGGGGGTGTAAACATAGGGGGTTAAATATCGTAGGGTTAAAGAGTGGGACACCGTATTTTTGGCCTGGAAAAGTTCGCTGTTTGTCTGACTTCGGTCTGATCATTTTTTGACCAGATCGACCCTATATCGGCCAATCTCGATGTTGGCAGATAAAATCTAATGAAAGTCCAAAAATAGAAATCAAATCATTAAAACAATTAGGTCTGTGATAGAATTATTCATTTGTCTCTGTAAGGCATCTTCCACCGTTATCCATTTTCACTTTTGACTACCTGAGAAAAGATTTACTTATTATTACTCCCTAACGATACCCACGATAGCTTCACTAACTTTTTCTCGCTCTGGAGAATTCAGTTAATTTGTATTTGATTATTTTTTTGGACAGTCATTTTTCGTCTGAAGTCACTGACTCACTCTCACGCTAGTGAATGAGAAGCAATTGCCTGACTTATCTGTTTTCAGGCAATTGTGACAGGTCTTTTTCCTATCTTTTAGCTGTTTATGTCTATTTGTGTTTCAGTTGTTTTTAGAGTTCCTCTACAACTTGTCAATTGATAAAATAGGTCGTTTGAAAATTTTAAACTAACTAAATGGTGACATAGGTCTAATGACGAAAAGGCAACTTCAAAGCATAGGTTTGACTCGAGCGCAACCTATACATTTGACTTTCACAAAAAATTACAATTATCTCATTGTTTTTAATTTGATCACAGCAATAATGGAGATGCTACAGGCATCCACATGATAAAGCAGTGCAGCTTTTCATATGCATTTAAATGCTTATCTGGCCAATGAGGTACTCCGAACTGTACGTTAATTTTAAAGTTAACCCGACTGTGTTCAAACACAGAGCCCAACCTTCAAATGACTTTCATAATAGTTTTAGAAGCTGGTCACTTCTGAACGAAAAATAAACATAATTCACACTACTTTGCTTTTCACACTTTTAACTACACTAACTTCATCAAAACTTAACTCCATTTTCTGTAATGTGGAGAAGGAAGACAATTTGTGAAAAAACATTACATCAGAAGACATGAAAAACCCAACTATTGTAATTTCAGAGGAACGGCGAAAGATATTATTCCATTTTGAAAAATATCAGTTGAAAAATTTTAATTTGCTGTCCAATTTTAAATTGATGTTTGAAAATCACACTTTGTATTTTTTTTCTTCAAAAATCGAAAGAAAAATTAAATGAAACATGATTGCTCTTTTTAGGACAACGCTTTGATTGTTTTGAGTGCCCTTTAGTTCTATGAAGCGTATCCCTGTGAGATAAAAACAATTAAGTTTTCGGAAATACGGTTTGAAAAATTGATTTTTTTTGGGCGGAAACCATCACCTCGCATAATAGGCAAGGTACAAAGTGATATTGTTCGCATATAACATAAGTATTAAATGGACCAATTAGACTTTCTCAATTCAGTTTGGAACGATTTCTAACACGGATTAAATCTCCGCCTACGCGTCAATAGCACAAAACATATTGCACGGCAATTATCTCAAATTGGCCAAAATGATAATTTTCAAATCCCTATAGTTTTTCAAAAATGATCACGAGAAGAAAGATTCCCTTAAAATTGAGCTCAATACATTACTGGATTTCAGAAGATAAAACAAAATTCTGTTTAAAAATAGCTATTTAAAACGTCGAATTCTTCGAAACGAAAAGGAACTCTTTTCCACTTCCCGGGTTTTCATTGTATTGTTGTATTGTTTTGTTTTGTATTGGGTTGTTTTCTATTGTATTGGTTCAATCAACCTCCAAAGTACATCACCAAGTTCTATCCGAAGTTATTCCGGTTTATTCACGAGTACCTGGACACCAGAAACGATACGTCCAGGACGAAATACCCCTTTTTGAACAGAAAATTTATTCATTTCTAACCGACACGCACAGTTTCGTGTTTATATGTGGTTCGGTCCAAGCTTGTATTGGGGTTGAACGAGGATTGGCGTCGGTAATAGAGTCTTGCCAGCCAGGAAAACCGACGAGAACCGCGGCTGAAGAATGCATCAAGAGAATGAAACGGACCGGAAAGATTCAGTTGGAGATGTTCGGATAGATATCATATTTGAAAGTGTACAAATGTAAAATGGATTTCAAGGTTTTATATAATATGAAGAAATTAGAATGGAGTTCAGGGTCTCATTTTTCATGAAGAATATAATATGTATTGTATTGTATTGTAATGTATTGTATTGTATTTTTTTGTATTGTATTGTATTGTATTGTGTTGTATTGTATTGTATTGTATTGTATTGTATTGTATTGTATTGTATTGTATTGTATTGTATTGTATTGTATTGTATTGTACTGTATTGTATTGTATTGTATTGTATTGTATTGTATTGTATTTTATTGTATTGTAGTGTATTGTATTGTATTGTATTGTATTGTATTGTATTGTATTGTATTGTATTGTATTGTATTGTATTGTATTGTATTGTATTGTATTGTACTGTATTGTATTGTATTGTATTGTATTGTATTGTATTGTATTTTATTGTATTGTAGTGTATTGTATTGTATTGTATTGTATTGTATTGTATTGTATTGTTTTGTATTGTATTGTATTGTATTGTATTGTTTTGTATTGTATTGTTTTGTATTGTTTTGTACTGTTTTGTATTGTTTTGTATTGTTTTGTATTATGGTTCTGTATTGTACTGTTTTGTTTTGTTTTGTGTTGATTTGTTTTGTATTGCATCGTACTGTATTATTTTGTATTGTATTGTATCGTATTGTTTGGTATTGTATTTTCATTCAGAAGCTTGTCACTTCTGAATGAAAAAAAAACATAATTTACACTTTGCTTTTCACACTTTTCACTACACGAACTTCATCAAAACTTAACTACATTAGGCAAGGTAGAACTTCATAATAGGCAAGGTACAAAGTGATATTTTTCGCATATAACAAAGTATTAAATGGACCAATTAGCCTTTCTCAATTCAGTTTGGAATGATTTCTAACACGGATTAAATCTCCGCCTACGCGTCAATAGCACAAAACATATTGCACGGCAATTATCTCAAATTGGCCAAAATGATAATTTTCAAATCCCTATAGTTTTTCAAAAATGATCACAAGAAGAAAGTCTCCCTTAAAATTGAGCTCAATACATTACTGGATTTCAGAACATAAAACAAAATTCTGTTTAAAAATAGCTATTTAAAACGTCGAATTCTTCGAAACGAAAAGGGGCTCTTTTCCACTTCCCGGGTTTTCATTTTCGTTTTTGAAAAACTAATTACTTCATTGTTTTCACAATGCCATGAAAGTTGAATTTGCATTTTTGCTCTTCAAATTTACACCGCGACATCATAATAACCGAATTAAGGCTGCTTGTATCCAGCGAAATTTTGAATGTTACCTTCCACAGTTTTAAATATGAAAAATTTATGAAGTTCTCAAAAGTGAATTTTTCCGGACTTTTATAAGAAAAAGGCCCACCGCTAAGCCAAACACAATGTGATAATTTTAACTTCTAGTAACAAGTTAGTAACACCAAAATCTTGCCTCAATTGAGTTTGGAACGGTTTTTAAATGGATTAAATAGCCGCTTACGCGTCAATAGCACGAAACATATTGCGCATTCTTTTTGCCAATCAGCCCAATAAGCATTTATCAAACCTCGATAAATTTTCAAAAAAAGATTACTGGTATTGACTTTTCAAATTTGAGCTAAGACAGCATTGAATTCATATGGCATAAAAATTTCATTCAAAAACTGCTAGTTAAAAAGTCGAAGTTGCCCTAGAGGAAAAAAATCATCCGCGCCCAATCATTCCATCACTCTCTCCAAAAAATGGGACAATAACACGTAAAATAAGTATAAAAACACAAAATTTGAAAATTGGGGAAAATGGAAAAGATCCCAAAACAATTTAAACACAATTTTGAAGTCAGTGGGTTGACATAACGTTTCATTCTTTTTTTGCGGCCACTTCAATCTATACGTGAATATAAAACAACACTGAGAATTTTTACGAGAGAGGTATAACCGGATACCGTCAAAAAGTTGCTTCTGGGAATATTTTAAGCAGAAAAATATTTTTTGAAACAATTTTGACAGTAAATATTTTTTGAATCATGTTAAGGCAAAAATCAATGAACATTAAAAGCATCTTCTCTACGCATTCAATTTTTCTGGTGTGAAAGCTTTTACCGATAAGTTCAAAAGAACAAAAAAATTACGAAAACAACATGGCAGTTTTTTAAAGCAATTTGTGTCGACGACATTTATCCAAAGCGGCGACATTCGTTAATCAACTGTACAGATTTCAAAGAGCTATGGATAGAAAACGAAATTTTAGTCGTACAGGGCTTAATTGGGTATTTGCGGAATATGATAATTCGACAGGGAGCTTTGATTTTTTGTGGGGGTTTTTGAATGGCAGATGAAGCAGGATATGGCGTATTCTGTCTATGCCCGAAAACACGTAGCGAAAATTTCATGGGGTGGAAAAAAGTATCATTTTCCTTTATTTCTTTTCAAATGAGAATATACCGATTGATACACCGAGTAAAGCAGCTAAGGCATTAAGAGCAGCGACAAGCACCTCGGTTCAACTGACGATAATTAATGGTGGAATCGGGAAATAGTTGACTTCTTTCAACTATTACTTGCTGTAATTATTACACGAGCGTGCCTATTGGAGATCGATTTGACTTCAGGCCATCTTTTTACTGCTCGTCTGGTGTTTTAACGTGGTATGGTGCCTAAATTGAAAATTATCTGCAACAATTCATCCGCCGACCAACTCTAATATTTCATCCTCAACCAAATACCAACAAAACAAAGCTAAGCTTACGTCTCAATTGATTGCTATACTTTACCCACTTCCCATCAATCATTCGTCTACTTATTGTACCACCAGTTCTGCTGTCTTCCGGATTTCCTCTTATTGACAGAGCTACTCTGAACTACGGCCAGGTTTGTTTGCGAATAAGACCAGACAATAAGTTTTTGGAGTTTTTGGCTCTTTTCCAGTTCCCCCCTTTCAAATTCAATTTTGAAAAATCTATTTAACCTTGTCATAATGCAATAAAATTTGACGTGGTGAACAAATCGACAATTCTGAACAGATTTGTTCTTCACACTTTACAGCGTAACATCACGTATTTAGCCGCAATGAGACGTTAAACAAACATAAAACTCGGTATTTTGAAAGAGGGGGAGCTGGAAAAGAGCCGTTCCGACTCCATTTTAAAGTCTATAGAGCAGTGTTTGCTACAGTTCTTTTTCCATTTCCCCCACTTGCCAATTTTATTTTAAAAAAAGATATTTTTAACCATGACCGATTCTTATGAAAAAAAAGTGGCATGCAGCATAGTTAAGCCATGACAAACGTATTTGGCCTTCATGCAAGGTTGAGGGGGGAGCCTTATTTTCAAAAAATTGATGAAATTTTTCAATTTGTTTTTTGAGAACTTTAAAGAATTTATGGCTTTTTACTCTCCCCCACCTCATACGAACATCACTTTTAGGTTCTTTTTCCTTCCCCCCCCAATGGAAAATTTAACTAGTGAAACTTTGTTCACCTTATCCGAATGTTACGAAAATTGGCATGCGAACTATTTAGGCTATGACAAACATATTTGGTCTTCATGACTAACCTTGTAAAACCCCTCGTTACACCATAAAGTTGACGCTTATGTGAGGTGGGGGAAAAGGAAAAAGAGCCCACTTTTATTGTGTAACGAGTGGTTTTACAATGTCAATTATGTAGACCAAATATGTTTGCCATGTCCTGATTAGTTGCCAATTTTCATGTCAATCGATGTAATGTAGAAAATTTTGCAGCTGGGGAGGGAAAACAGCAAAAATAATCTCCACACGCGCTTTGTTAGCTCAATTCAATTTGGAACGAAATCTAAGACTGATTAAATCCCCGTTTAGGCGTGGTTAGCACAAAGTATTTGTTGTGCGTCAATTTGACCAAATTAGCTCAACCCGATAACTTTACGAAAAATATCACAGCCATTTTTTCCCACTTCTCTCTTCTTTGATTTGTTTTTAACAAAATTTTTCCAAGTTAGAAACTGCATCAACACGTGTGAACATGTGAAAAAATTTTTGGCTATTTTCCAGTCCCCCCCGCCTGCAAATTTTTATATTTGAAGTTTTTGTTCACTTTGTCCAATTGTCATGAAAATTGATATGCAGACTATTTAGGCCATGACAAACAAACATATTTGATCTTCATAATTAACCTTGTAAAACCACTCTCTGGAAAAAGAGCCAAAACCTCTGCCAAACACTGCTAGTTAAAAAAACTTTTCTGGATAAATAAAATCACTCAATCACAATTATTCTGTCACTTGCTTCGGAAGTCGGAATAACAACTACTTTCACGCCTGCATACCGAAGAAATAAAGCGTTCTAAACACAATCTTTCGGCTCTTTTTCCTTTCCTCCCCCACCTGCAATTTTTTACAAGTAAAGTTACTGTTCACATTGTCCGGACATTATGAAAATTGACATGCGGACTGATTAGGATGTGCCAAACACATTTGGTCTTCATATTTAACCTTGTAAAACCACTCGTTACACCATAAAATTGATGGTCGTGGGAGGTGGGGGGAAAGGAAAAAGAGCCAATCTTTCTTGATACATTACATCGTATTATCGCGCATTTTAGCCACAGCTATACAAAACAATTGAATGAAAACAGAAAACGCTGTTTTCCTCTACACCCTCCTCAAAACGTTCGAAATTCAACACTAAGAAACTATGAAATTTATATTACACTGGCGGGCAAACTGAAATGCATGTTCACGTTTTTACTTTCCAAAATGACTAACTGGCTCGTTTCCAGTTCCCCCTTTCAAATTCAATTTTGAGAAGTATATTTAACGTTGTCATAATGGGCTCTTTTCCAGTTCCCCCCTTTCAAATTCAATTTTGAAAAGCTTAATTAGCGTTGTCATAATGCAATGAAATTTGGCGTGGTGAACAAATCGACAACTGTGAACAGATTTGTTCTTCATACTTTACATCGTAACATCACGCATTTAGCCATAATAACACGTAAAACAAACATAAAACTCGGTGTTTTAAAAGGGGGGAAACTGGAAAAGAGCCTCATAATGCAATGAAATTTGGCGTGGTGAACAAATCGACAACTGTAAACAGATTTGTTCTTCATACTTTACAGCGTAACATCACGCATTTAGCCGTAAAAACACGTAAAACAAACAAAAAAACTCGGTGTTTTGAAAAGGGGGGGCGGAACTGGAAAAGAGCCGACTAACTTTTCCAAAACCACTATAGAAAAATTTTAACTAGCAATTTAACAAATCTTTTCTTGGACCGACACCAATTAATATGAACCATCTTCCCTGAAATCTCAATAATTGCTTTACTCGTACCATTTTATTCCGGGTCTAGAAAAGCCAGTTTTTACCATTTGAAATAGTTTTTTATGGCTCTTTTTTAGTCCCCTTTTTCAAAATACCGAGTTTTACGTTTGTTTAACGTGTTATTACGGCTATATGCGTGATGTTACGCTGTAAAGCATGAAGAACAAATCTGTTCAAAGTTGTCAAGTTGTTCACCAAGTTTCATTGCATTATGGCAAAGTTAAATAAATTTTTCAAAATTGAAATTGAAAGGAGGGGAAACTGGAAAAGAGCCGGTTTTTCCTACGGTATGAAATCATAAAAAACACCGGGGTTGGAAAAAATTGTATCGCTGCAAACTTCTCAAGTTTCACATCGCATGGCCAACTTCTTCTGCTCCGCTTAATCAAAAGAGAATGCAACTAAATCATGTAGGCAACAAACGTAATCTAACTTTTTAAAGTATGTTCAAATTTAGAAATTCTAAACTTAACTGTACGTACAAAATGATAGAGTGTTGATCAAAAGTGTCATGCACACCAGTCATTCAAATAATTTAAATAAAAAACTTGACAAAAATTCGCAGTTACTAGTGAACATACCTAAAAAAACTTATTAGCCATTTTTTGAATGTAGCCACAGTTTTTTAAATGCTTGATTAGCTTCAGGATAACATGTAAATTTGTTCTACAATTCAAGTTCTAAGTAAAGTTTTTGCTTCTAGAATTATACCTTTAATGTCAATTCCCCACTCCCAAACTCCTTCCGTCTGCTAGTTGCCGGTCTTTCTGTGCAAAAGTGCAGCGCCGCAAGTGTAAGTAACTTAATATTTCTGGCGACCTGATCGATTATCATGTTATTGAACTCCATTTTTTCACAATCAACATGGACGGCGACTTACTACTTTCGGCATAAGAGTTCCCTTCCGCAGTGCTCTTGAAGAGTTCATAAAGTAGTCAAGAAAAAATAACTATGAAAACTAAAAGGAAAAACTGAACCTAGGACTTTTTATTGGAAAAACTGTAATTGTGTCTTGACTGAACGCTTTTGAGTTTTAAATTTTCACATCCATCCATTTAGTTTCTTGCATTGTAATTTTAAATTCAAAAACGTTTTCTCACGTTTTTGTGCCTCAAGCTAAAGGTGCAAAATGACCAGAGATTAGAAAATACACTTCAGTGATTCATGCAACAATTAAAAACTTAACGCATCAAAACTTAACAAATCAAAAAATTAGTTTTTGTTCACATTTTCCTTTAGCAAGCCTTATCTTATCATTTTTTGAGTTTAAATTGATCCTCAAAAGTTGAAGTTATTTGTTAATTTTTGATCTGTGACTAATTTTGTGCTAAGATGCAAATTATTTCAATAATTCAAATTTTCACCAAAGTTTTCTATTCAATTTTTTTTTCTATAAGCATAGACGGTTATATAAGTATGAATGATGAGTAAAAAATATTTCTCATTTATTGCCACTAGAAATCTAAATTTTCAAAATATTTTAATTGGTCTTTGTGTAAAAAATCAAAACACACGTTACGATGTCAAGTTAAAAGAATGAAAACTTGAATTCAACTGCAGCTGTAGATTCCAAATGAGTAATAAATTCAGTGCTTCAAGGTCACTATCAAGTAGCAGCATCTAATGCTGGCTTCCTTCAAATGAGATTGATTTTGAAAAAAAACTCTAAGAGACTAGTAAGCAACAGCTGAAGGAAATTCCCATGTTTTCTTAACTATAAAGGTTGCGAAATTTTCCAAAATTAAAAATCAGACATTTTGTTAGATTTTTGAGACTAAATTGTTTTGCTGCTTATAGCACTTCGTTAGCCTAATAGAACCATCATGAACCTTTGGTGTGTACATTTTAGTTCTTACACCAAAATAATTGAAGTTTTTACTTTGTAATTTTTACTTTTGTAGTTAAAAAATGCTTACTGTTTGTAATCCTATTGAGCGAAGACAAGTTGTTGAATCTTGGTCTAACAGACACTGCCTCAGTTTTGTGTTCATCATAATTGTTCGTTTTTATTTTGATCATTTTTACTAATGAAAAAAATTGCACGAATCCTTTTCTTCTGAGCAAGAAGAACTTTAATTAAATAATTTCTCGATAAATAATCGTACGCACTCAAACCATATGAAGCAAGTTGCTCAAGACTTATAATTTTGCAGTTTTTTTTGCAAACATTGCCGACATGATCTCAAAAACTGAACCCATTGTCCATTCAAGTTCCAAAAAAACTGAAGCTGCTGTTTTTTTTTTAAAAAACTTTCACCAGCAAGGGTAACATAACTTTTGTTATTGTCTTTTTTTTTCAAAATGGCATCAGTTTTAATTTCGACTTGCTGATAGTTAGTTCGTTAGATGCACCCCACTCATCCACAGTTTTAAGATCGGTTGAATATTTTCCGACTTTCTGTTTTTGGTCACAAAAATTTTATATATTATCCTCAGCAACAAATGATGCAGTTCAATGACTATTATGCTTTTTGATGTAAATCGTATATTTTAGAAAAAAATTTATTCGTAAACCTGATTTTTGGAAAACACCATTTTCAAAAATGAACCTTTCAGTTTTGGCATAAATAA